GAACATAAAAAGTACCTGGGCCCTGAGTTCAAGCTCAGGACTGGCATGAATGAACAAGACTGGCATGAACGAACAAACGATTAAGATAGGAGGGAAGGAAGGAAAGAGGGGAATGAGGGAGGAAAGAAGGGAGGAAGGGAAGGCTGGAGGGAAGAAAGAAGGGAAGGAGGGAAGGAGGGAGGGAAGGAAGGAAAGAAGGAAGGAAGGAAGGAAGGAATTCAACTACATAGGAAAAAAGTACAGCAGGGTGAGTTCCTCTACCATCTCTATTATTGCCACAAGCACCAAGATCCTCTTCTGCAAACACTTCCTCACCTTCCCTAAGGATCTGAACAACATCCCCTCCCCTCCCCCCTTTAGCCTGTTCAGGGGTTGAAGCAACATCAGAGGCAGAGTATGTATGTATAGCTTGGAAATCAGAGCCCTGGAAGGAGGAAGGCCTCTAATACTGAGTGCTAACTGGGGAAGAAGTATAGAGATAGTAATAACCTGCTCTTCTTTGTGCCTTCAAGAAGCATCTCAACCACCCTTGACAGATACTGGCCATGTTCCTGCCAACTCTAACTCTTCTCTCCCATTTAGAAGAGCAGGACATTATAAAAGCCAGGAACTAATCATGAACTCTTGTGACCTATAAAGTTAATATGTCACTGGGACACATCAGTGCTTGATTAGTATCACATTATTTGTGATATAGCTCTTAAAGATTAAGTTACCTGTTGTCTTTCAGACTTAGGTCAAGCACCTAGGGCCTATCTCCATCATGTATACTGCCTCACCCTCGCACTATGCTGACACCTAACTCCTGAGCAACAGGGAAACAAATTGCCCTTAAGATCACAACATATTAACCTGAAAAAAATAAGTCAGGTTCTTTCTTTTGGATCAACCAGTACCAGCTCCAGCCCCACCTCTCTGTAGCTTACTGGCTAAGTGATAGTGGTAGGGCAAGCTATCTAATCTAAGCCTGACAGTCTCTGCAAATGGGTCTAAGACTATATAACTGGTATTACTAACTATATAACTGGTATTACTAACTAAGCATGCTGTAATAGTAAGAAATGCAAAGGGCCCAGCACACAATAAGTACTTAATAACTAATTACTTATTACTACTATCCACAGCAAGCTCCTGGAAGACCTTTATTTTGTTCTGTTTCTTTACCCTCAGCATAGAGCCTGACACAGACAGTTCTTAAGACAGCATAGAGTGGTAATGGATAAAACCATCCTGCCTTCCATCAACATGTAATAAATAGCCGCAAAGTACCAGACATTGGTCTATGACCTATGGAAAGAGCAATGAGCAGAACACCCATAATGCTGTTTCCTGATATTCACATTCTAGAGGAGAGAATGGACAAGTGAATACATAGTTGGAAAGAGAACTATAGAGCATAATTGTGGGGTTAGAGAGTCAGTGTAGGGTAGTTTGCTTTTTTTTATGTCACAGGTCTCTCTTAAGATGACATTATTTGTTGGGCATTGATAGCTCACACCTGTAATCCTAGCTCTTCAGGAGGCTGAGATCTGAGGATCAAGGTTCAAAACCAGTGGGGGTGAGAAAAATCTGAGACTATCTCTAATTAACCAGCAAAAAGCCAGAAGTAGAGCTATGGCACAAATAATAGAGTGCTCGCCTTGCACAAAAAAGCTAAGAGATGGGCTGGGAAGGTGGCTCAGTGGTAGAGCGCTTGCCTTGCATGCTCAAGGCCCTGAGTTCGATTCCTCAGCACCACATAAGCAAAAAGAAAAAAGCCGGAAGTGGCACTGTGGCTCAAGTGGTAGAGCACTAGCCTTGAGCTGAAGAGCTGAGGGACAGTGCCCAGGCCCAGAGTTCAGGCCCCACAACCAGACCAAAAAAAAAAAGTAAAATAAAAAAGCTAAGAGACAGTGTCCAGGCTTGAGTTCAAGACCCAGTACTAGCATCAACAAAAAAGAAAATACCCTGAACAAAGACTTAATGGAAGTGATAGGATGAACCAAACAAATATCTGTGAGGCATGTTTGAAGACATTTCAGGCCAAGGAAACAGTAGCAGGAAGGCCCTGAAGAAAGCAGACCAATGGGTGGTATGTTTAGACTGGTGCAGCTAGAATGGTCTGAATGAAAAGGCTTTTATAAAATTCTTTTTCTATTTGGTTAAAAATGAGCACACAACACCATTCAGAAACTGAAAAAAAAAGATGTATTAAAAGTATTCACAGAAGTACAATTGCAAAAGAAAAGATCAAAAGATAATAGGAACATGATGGTTTTCCCCAATTGGATACATTTTAACTGAGAAATTACAGATAGGAATTTTAATCTCTGAACAATCCCTTTTAGGTGTCCCCTTACAAAAGTCACATAAAATTTTAAGAAGTCTTGTTCTTCCAGCACAAGACACAGGAAGAGCAGGTCTGCCATCTGGATGTAACCTCAATGGTTAGCTGTACCAAGCCCAGAAATGCTGAGGCCTGAGGGGGAATGGTGAAAAAACACTAAAGGAAGTGGTGTGCAGAAGTTAGAAGACCCTGGGCTCAAAGCCCTCACTCAGACCCTATGTATAAATGTGAAAAATGGCCTTCAGACACCCCTCCCACAGCCCCATCAGCAGCTGACTGCCTTTGCCTGGAGGAGTGGCTCAAAGAAGGTGGGGGAGGAAACTTTCTGCTCTTATACCAGACTGCTGACAGAGGGCGAGGCATTTGGTTTGGCTAGGAGGTCCAAATCAGGTACAAAAAGGAGACTGTATGGAATGGTACCCCACCACCAGCTTCACACCAGGAGAAATCAGGGCTCCTACCATCAGTAAGTATCAAGAATGTACAGTTTACTCACAGGACTGCTGACAAAGGAGAAAGGGGGAAGGCCCATTTTCTCTGTAAAATAATGTCAGGAAGCATTGCACATGACAATGTACACACTTGGGCTATGACTGTCTCTGGGTTTCTGTTCTTATCTTAAACACACCTTAAGGCTTTGCTATGTCATTCATACAATGGCAAAGGCTCCCTGAGGATTTCATTATCTTGGCATGTGTTTGAATAGTAACAATCCTAATCACTTAAAACATATATAAGAGGTCTTCTAATAGCTCCTAATGTTTTCTTTTCTTTTTTTGGGGGGGGTGTTGTTGTTGGTCATGGGGCTAGAACTCTGGGCCTGGGCACTGTCCCTCAGCTCTTCAGCTCAAGGCCAGTACACTACCACTTGAGCCACAGCGCCACTTCCAGTTTTCTTGTGATTAATTGGAGATAAGAGTCTCATGGTCTTTCCTGCCCAGGCTGGCTTTGAGCCGTGCGTGATCCTCAGATCTCAGCCTCCTGAGTAGCTAGGATTACAGCCATGAGCAACCAGTGCCCAGAGCTCCTAATGTTTTTGAAATGGGAGCAGAAAGGTTCTAGAAAGGTTTTCTGCCTTACTCCTGAGTGGGACCTGTGGACATGGAGGAGAAATTGGAGACTGTAGATCAGGCACACAGGACACAGAACAGATGTTCCTCAGCTTAAGAGATGTCATGTTAGTGATGCCAAACTCTCCTCTCTTCTTGCTTACAGACACATAAACTGTATATACTGGCCATATTGGAGCACTATGGGACTAACAACAAATAGTTCCTCCAAAAATCAAAGACCTCCTTCACGGGACAGTTCTGAAGCTCCAGTGGCCTCCATTGCCTCATATATTTAAAGCTAAATCATGCTTTATTTCTTTTATAGACTCAGCCTCCAAACATTGAAAAACATAACAGAACACAGGAAGAAAAAGACAGTTTATGGTGACCTTAAAGTAAATAGGAGGAAGCTTGTTTCCCTTCATTCCCACTTACCCAATCCCAATAAACCATTTAGACCTTCTAGACAGCATTCTTCCCGTAACTGTGGGCTTCCAGTTTTTAAGAGGAAAAACAAATGGGAGGATGACAATATAAATAAACTGCTTAATGACCCTGACCATGCTCCTAATTACCAATTAAATATAAAACCTCTTTCATCTGAAGTAGGGGAGGGAGTAGTGGAGGAGAGAAAATGAATTTAGGAGAGAACAAATTACCTTTTCTCTTGTTTCGTTGTTAATCAATCCCAAGTAACAGGAGAAAAACAGAAAAATAAAACAAACCCACAACAGGGACATAAAAGAGATTGCCAAGTAGCAGAACTAGCCCTACTTCAGTTTTAAAATTCTTGACTCCTTTTAGCCCAAAGGTCTTTCTTTTTGATATTGTGAAGCTACAAGAAAAGCCACATGCCTGACTGCCTGAGGCTTTTTCTTGCTAAAGGCATGAAGGAGGCTTTACAAGACCATTTCTCTAGTGAATGCAATCCAGCAACACCATCTCTGCACACTTGGAAGGAAGGAGGAACTCTTTTCAGCTTCCTGGGTGAAGACTCTGACTTTAAGCAGGAACAATGTCAGCAAAAAAGGTAACTGCCACCTGTGCCTCCAGAGGTCACAATACCCCTCAAGCAAAGTCTGGATTTTCTACTTTGGTTGGCTTAAAGTACCCAAAAGGACGTGATTTCTAACCTTTATCTTTTGTTACTCCTGCCATTATGAATCAACATGTTGGATATATTCTTAAAGGGTATGATGTCAAAGTAAACCTATGCAATATTAAAAGATAAAAACTGCTCCTTGTTGTAGAAAAACATTAATCAAAGCTTCCCAAACTGGCTTCAAGTGGCATAGTTAAGGGGTGCTGTCTAAAGATACCACCAACTATTTATTTCTGATACAGTGTCCAAAGGCCACCCTGGATCTGCTTCTATCAGAGTATCGCATCTTCCAACTACAATAAATGCTACGACTGGTTGAGCCCTTAGACAAAAAGGCCATGTCTAGGAAATACTACAAGGTCTGCTGTCTCCATTTAAGGCAAACCACATCCACATGATGATAATAGGAATGTTTCTGAAATTTCAGAACTGTAAATTGTCCCAAAGAATGTACAAAAACAGTAAGACAAATTATATATGAACAGAATCTTTTCATCATGCAACACTGGCTTCTCACATCAGGAAAATTAAACAGAATATTTATACATAGTCTTCATACACATTTGTTTTTCTCCCTCTATGAGTATACACATGCTTGTCCGTGCCTGGGTCCTCAAGACCACATATGGCTATGGATTACACTTTCTGGAAAAGAGTCCAGTTTGGATTTGTTTCTTGCTTAGGATATGTTCTTGGTCTTTTCTCAATTTTTCCGGATGTCCGCATACACCACAGACTCTGACTTGTTAATCTTGTCACTGTGATGTCCACCAGAGTGGTCTAACTGTGCGTATATAACTGGCCCCTGCAGAAGAGAAATAAAATGAGAAGTTTTGAGAAACTGACAATCCCTAAGATACAGACATCAAAGTGATTATACTCTGGTTCAAAATCAAAGACTTCTCCCAAATATCTTCTAAAGACTTCTTATAAATGATATATACTCAGGATTGACTTGAAAGTAAGATTAGGCATTGATAATTGTTAGTGCTAGTATGTATCAGATCTATTTTGTACAGCATACTTTTCTAAACACTTTAAAATCTTCCTTAGAAATTTCTGTAACAATATCCCTTATCCCTTATGTGCTACAGAACTCTTCAATCTCTGAAATTGGGATCAGAGCCCTAGCAACTAAGATAGGCAGCACTCTACTGACCCTAGACCCACTGAAATCATAAGCTTCCGAGTAAGTCATGTCAAAAAACAAATTTGGTGCTACCCAACATGTGACGCTATCATTGTAAACTGGTCACTTTGTGTTAAATAGGTACTTTAAAATACTTCAAATATTTAATACTACTTATTAAATTATTCAATTCTACTTTTAACAATTCTTTTAGTCTGACCTTGTGACCAATTGAACTATTACTTGATTTTTTTTTCTCTTTTGGACATAAGGGATCAAATATGGGCCCTTGTGTGTGCTGAGCACATTCTGTACAAATAAACCACATCTCAGGTTTGCTTATGCTCTTTCTGTTTTAAATTGTGTGTTTTTTTTAATGGTAACAATCTATAAGAACATATCTATAATACTATATTATACTAATCTACAATCTATATGGTACTACTCTACAGAAAAACTCCAAATGGAAAGAAGTACAAATACTCCTTTTACTCCCAGTAACAAGGAGAAGGTTAAAATTGCAGATCACTACCAGCCAGTAAAGCAGCAGAAATTTGGGCTCTAAAGGCAAAGTGATAACCAACTCTTAGGGGCGAAATATGAGCAGAAATAGAAGATTCAAACATCAGAAGGGAGCTTCACATTTCAGTCCCTACCTAGAGATTCTAAAATTATAAACAACAACAAAAAAGCCTTGATTTTAAAATGAAAATTTAACATAACACAGCCAACTTTTCGGCCAACCCAGGGACCTCTCCTTGACAGATTCAATAATATAGTTATACTTTCAACTTTAAATTGTAAATTCAGTAGCCAAAAGCATGTGCTTTAAAATGAACTACCTCAACTCAGCAGCTCTAACAAGCTACCAGCAACAACTTGCATCCTTTAGTGTGTAAATTGTGATCTCATGGAGGTCAGCACTGACTTCCACAGAAGGGACAGGCCCAGCTGCAAGGGTTGTACAATGGTATATCTGAAGTGAAGTTATAAAACAAGACAACAAGACCCTTCTGAACTTGGGAGTCCACAGCCGGAATTCAAAAGACATTCTTCACCCAAACTAGGAGAGAACAGCACTGACCACATGGCCCTCTGAATAATTTCTATGTCTCTAAAATGTTTAGTGTTCTGAGACTTAAATGATTCTTATAAATAACCTAAGGCAATGTCTAATAGCCAATATTCTCTCAACACAATCTAATTATTATTACTATAAGCATCTTATTATAAACATACTTTAAAACACAAAGGTAACTAATCAAGAAAGAAGCCAAACTTGTCATGTGTTCATCTTCAGTGTAGCTGATCTTTCTTAATGCCCTTTACATTGTCAATACTAAATCATACAGAGAGGCTCTATCTTCACCTCAACAAGCTTCAAGAAAAACAAAAGGAAGTGCTAATCCAAAAAGAAAAAAGGTTAATAGAACAGGATTTCAGTACTTGCTTATATAACTTTTTTATTTTTTGTTTTTCTGGTCGTGGGGCCTGAACTCTGGTGCTGGGCGCTGTCCCTCAGCTCTTCAGCTCAAGGCTAGCACTCTACCACTTTAGCCCCAGCGCCACTTCAGGCTTTTTCTGCTTATGTGGTGCTGAGGAATCGAACCCAGGGCTCATGCATGCAAAGCAAGTACCCTACCACTTCTCAGCCCTGCTTATATAACTTTTAAGATAATAAAACTCTGCACCTCTATTTCTACAGACTCAGGAGTTTTAGGGTGTGTTCATGGGGAAAGGAGTTTACAAGTTATGATGGAATGTAAATATGGTCTTAACTCCTTCCTTTATCAAAACTACATCCTTTGTAATGTAATGTCACATATCCATCAAGAGAAGAAACACATTTCTCCACTCCCTGAATCTGGGGCACTCTGTGGTCTTCCCATATCAACAGAATGAGACAGAAGTAATTTGGTGTAGTTGTCACATCCAGACCCCCAACAGGCTTTGCTGCTTCCAGTCTCTTATGGATCTTGGGATTCCTGAATCTGCCAGCACAATATAAACAAGTTAGCCTGCTGGCCCATGAGAGAGACATAGGGGTCCAGGCTGCTTTTCTCTGCTAGGCCAACTTGCCTAGCAGAGAACTATCCAGCCAGAAGCCAATCTCTAGCCAACTGTCAGCCAGCTAACATCAGCTGAACCAAATTGACCATAAGACTTGCCCCTAAAGCCAGATTTGGTAGCTGAACAAAAAGAACTACATTTACCATTATTTATGGCCATAAATAGCTGATACTGTATGTTGAATAGAAAAAAGGCCAGAGGGGGGTTAAAAATACAGAATTGTATCTGCATCAGTCAGCAACTGCCAAAATACCAATAAGTTCTTTCAAATGAGATAGTATTGTCTTTTAACAGACAAAGTAATTAGAAAACCAAAGAAGGAATAGAACTTTCTGTTAGGGATTTGGTTTTTGTTATGCCTACTTTTTCCCTCTTAGAATGTACTATGGTCTCACTTCAGTGACTTAATTACTTAGTCTAGAACTTAGACTGTGAGGGCCACATGAAGGGATAGTTAAAGAATCAAGCGGGGCTGGGAAAGTGGCTCAGTGGTAGAGCACTTGCCTTGCATGCATGAGGCCCTGGGTTCGATTCCTCAGCACCACATAAGCAAAAAGAAAAAACCTGGAAGTGGTGCTGTGGCTCAAGTGGTAGAGCACTAGCCTTGAGCTGAAGAGCTGAGGGACAGCGCCCAGGCCCAGAGTTCAGGCCCCACAACTGGACTTCCCTCCCCCCCCCAAAAAAAGAAGCAATTTTTTTTAGGTACTGGGGATTAAACTAAGAGCTTCACATTAGCTAAGGAAATGCTCTACCACTTAAGATACACCCCCAGTTCACTTTGCTTTTCGTTTGGTGGTTTTGTTGTTTTTCCTTAATATATATTTTAGCAATAGTACTACAGTTTGAACTCAGGGCCTACGTACTGTCTGAGCTTTTTGCTCAAAAGTAGTTTACCACCACTTGAGTCACAGTTCCACTTCTGGCATTTTTGTGATTAATTTTGGAGATAAAGAGTCTCTTGGACTTTCCTGCCTGGGCTGTCTTCGAATTGTGAGTAGCTAGGATTATAGCTGGATTTTCAGATAAGATCTTATGCTTACTTTGCCCAGGCAGACTCAAACTAAAATGCCCCTATCTCCACCACAACATCCATCTTTAATACAGAGGAATTGTAAAATGTGGGCTGAGATCAGTGATCTGTTAATGAATCTAACCCCAATAGAACAGTTTTCTAAAGGCTGGTTCTGGTTCTATCTAGAAGATGAAGGTACTTTGGTATCTTGGTGGAACATATTCCAGGATGGGAATTCTGAGATCTAGTGAGATTGCTCAGGACTTCAGGAAGATCCAATGAAACAAAATCAACTCAGAAACTAGCCTGTATTGCAAAGATACTCTCTTTGAATATATAAAAATTCAGAAAGGAAACAGTAAGAGCCATAGGAACCTAGTTATTTTTACTGAATCTTGGTATCCATCTTCCCCATCTTTTTTTTTCAATAAAGAATTATAATTAAAGTGAAATTTTTAATTTGGATATTCTCCCTCAACTATTTACTTCAAAAGTTGATATTATGGGGCTGGGAAGTTGGTTCAGTGATAAAGTACTTGCCTTATATGCATGAGGCCCTGGGTTCGATTCCTCAGCACTATATAAACAGAAAAAAGCTAGAAGTGGCGCTGTGGCTCAAGTGGTAGGGTGCTATCCTGAAGAGCTGAGGGACAGTGCCCAGGCCTAGAGTTCAGCCCCCATGACCAACAATAACAAGGCAAAAGTTGACGTTACTGAAAAGCTTACAGAAAGCATTGTCAGGCCTGGGCACAATAGCTCATGCCAATAATACTAGCTACTCAGGAGGATGAGATCTGAGGAACTCGGTTCAAAGCCACCTCAGCCAGGAAACACCATGAGACTCTTATCTTCAATAACTACTCAAAAGAGCTGGAAGCAGTGCTGTGGCTCAAGTGGTGGGGTGCTCACCTTGAGCGAAAAAGAAGCTCAGGGACAGCACCCTGGCCCAGAGTTCAAGCCCCAGGATCAGCAAAATAAATAAAAGCATTGTCTGAGGTAGGTTTATTCTTTTAGTTGTAACTACAGATAAAATTACCACTGAATTCCATTTGTATCAAATTTATTCTCATATAAAAGCATACTGGTAAGGACAGGGAAAGAAGGTGTAGGAAGAATACTATAGAAGAGTAAAGAGACCTGTTCTAAATACCACAAGGCTAGGAGCTTGCTCAAGTGGTAGAGTTCCTGTCTAGCAGTCTCCCCTACCTTTTTTTGTGCTAAGGTGGACTAAAGGCCTGTGCACTGTTCCTGAGATTTTTTGCTCAAGGCTGGCACTCTACCACTTGAACCACAGTTCCACTTGTAGCTTTTTTGGTGCTCAATTGGACATAAGAGTCTCACAGACTTTCTTGCTCAAGCTGGCCTCCTGAGTAGCTGGAATTACAGGTGTTAGCCACCAGTACCCAGCTAGCAGTCCTGATAAAACTCCTATAGTTCATGTTCTGTAGTAAAAAAAATTGCGTTGGGCAATTTAATTCTAGTCCTTAAGGCATTAAAGAGACCACTCCTAACACGTAGCACTCTGAGAACACATGCCTTTAGCATAAGCACAGATACTGACAAAACACTTTTTCCCCAGTATTAGCATTTATTCATAATAAAGTCAAACACATTATTACGACTCTCTTTGAGATTAATACCAATTACCAAAACAGAGATGAAAAGAATTGGACAAGGATAGAATAAACATATGTCCTAGAACTGGACAGGATCTAATACCATTTCTGCCACTAACAAGTGACAGTGAGCAAGGGACGCAATCTATTTAAGCCTTAGCTGCTTCTCATGTAAACCAGAAACATGCATCTTGCATGACTGTCATGGGGCTAATAAGATGCACACAATGCACTTAAAATATTACTATGTCCATGCTCTACCGTTGACAAATTCCTAACTCCAATCACTGTTCTCCAAAAATACTTGCCTTTTGCATGAAAGTATTATTTCTAGAAAAAGATACAGACAACCAATTACTCATCACATATTTACACAAAAAAGATTTAAAATAATTCCTACTCAAAACACCTCATTTTTAAATTTTGTTTTCAAGAGGAGAGCGTAGCACTTAAAGGACAGACTAAAGCTTTGCCAAGCTGTAACTCTCATGCCTTCATTACAAGCAATGCCCATTTGCAATCCCAATTAAGTAAAACTTAAGAGGAGGGGAGGAAGGGGAAAAGGGAGCGAGAGAGTGAATACGTTATGAGCTTGATGCTGCAATAGAAATCAGGTAATCTAGAAACCTAGGTTTTGGTCCCCATTTTGTCACTACCTCATGTAAATTTAGTAATTTAGTAAGAATGCCTCAGTCTCTCTCCCAGATATAATAGTTTGTTCACCCAATAAGAGAGATAGGGACTATAGATCTTATTCAGACAACTTCATAAACATTGTTATTTTCTTCCTCATAAACCTCTTCCTTCCAGCTATCACATCCTCAGGGAAAAGTAGAACAGACCAAATTATGCCGAATTCCTTAGATTTCTTTCTATCCCAGAAAAACCACAGTGATACTAGATTCAAAGCTATTGCCAAGCCACAATTATAAAGGAGCACAGCCAAAACAGTATTAAGCACAATGTTTGATCCTGAGCTGAATTCTGAATATAACTTCTTTTCTACAAAATAATTTTTCTATTTTATTAGCAATACTAAGAAGGTTAATCTCTTCTCCTCTCCCCTCGCCCTACTTTCCTTTCCCCTCTTCTCTCATTCCCTCACTTTCCTACTTCCCTCCCTTCTCTCTCTTCCTCTCCCATTCTCTCTCCTCTCTCCCTTTCCTTTTTTGGGGGAGGGTGTGTGTATTACTGGGAATTTCCCCAGAGTCTTACACATGCTAGGCAATTTCTTTACCAGCTGATTTAGTCCTTCTCTCCTTTATGTGGGTACCAGGGTTTAAACTCAGGGCTTCAAACTTGCTTGGCAGGCACTCTTCCACTTTAGCCATGGCTCCAGCCTGGCTTGTAGCTGGTTATTCTGAAAATGAAGCTTTGAAATTTTCTGCCTGGATTGAGCCTGCAGGACTCAATCTCCTGAATAGCTGTGACTATAAGCATGAACTACTGAGATATGGCTTTACTTTTTGTTGTTGAGACAGGTCTTGTGACCACCCTTTATCTGGGCAGTTCTCAATCTTGTGGTCCTTCTGCCTCCTTATCTGGAATAGATGGGATTGCAGGCACGCACTGCCTTGCTCTTTTCCTGATAAATTTCTTATAGAACACTTTTGTTCAGAATATAGTTCACCAGATTTTATTTCCTTGGATACTTAAAGAAGCATCTATTACAGCTGACAGAGCTATTCTAACTTTATTTGGGCTAAAGAAACCACATTCTTGGTAAGCAATATGTCAGTGGTGGTTTGATAGAAAACAATATTCAGGTCAGATCCCTGTCTGCACATTTTCTTGTGGTCTTTCTAGATGAGCCCTTTCATTTCCTTCTCCCTCTTTCCCTTCTCTGACTTGTGCTTCTCTGACACAGCTCAGTATTCTTTCCCATACCCAGGAAGTGACACCAAATGTTAAAGCACACTGAGCAAGTACAACTGCCACCAGCCATTACCTGGTGAGATCCTGAAGGCAGACTCTTTACTAGATGCTCTGTGTCCGAGGGGGACTTCCGTGGAGTCTGCTTAACTGATGACAAACTCTCTGATGTGCTGCAGCTGATGGATTGGCAATTTGAAGAACAAATGTAAAAAAAATACATAAAGTAAATGGAACAAAAATATAGAAATGCATGTGATGGCAAGACAAAGCAGCAGATGTAGAAAAACAAAAGACAACAAAACAATGAGTACCAAAAAAACCCAAAACACTGCTCTCTTAAAAGTACTTTCTAGATCAGAAACTCATTCACCCTTCTGAGTAGGTGAACCTGCTGCTATCGGAGGCACAAAAATTAATGTGGTACAACATCTTCACTCCAGTTTCAAATACTGATTTTGTAATTCTGGTGATAAATTCTTGTTTATGTTTTGGCTGCTTTGTCTTTTTTCCTTGCCATCAACCCAGATCAAAGTTTTAAAAGGAGCAAACTAAACCTTCTTAAAGGAAATTCATTTTTACTCCCATTAAAAGCAAGCCTCTTTTGAATGTATTTTTTTAAGTTACAGATAGATATACATCCAGACTTGTATTTATGGCTGTGTGTGTGTGTGTGTGTGTGTGTGTATACTGAAGTTTAAACCGAGGGCCCTGTGTTCTTGCTTGTTTTTTTCACTCAAGGCTGGAACTCTATTGCTTGAGTCACACCTCCACTTCCAGCATTTTGCTGTCTAATTGGAGGGAAGAGTCTCTCAGACTCCTGAGTCAATAGGATTACAGACATGAGTTACCCATGTCCAGCTTCATGGCTCTTGTTTCCTCCATTCTCTAGCTCCCCACATTTTGTTTCCCTACTAATACCACAACCAACCAAAAATAGAACCCCCCCCCAAACAGCTCCAGAAACCATGAGTGATGACAAATTATAGAATGAAAAATCATGCAGGCTGATCTCTCTCAGAAGCATGAAGGGTTTTTCTTTAACATGTGCCATCTCATAAATAAATGAAGAAAGTGAACACCAGGGAAGAATGAGAAGGAACTCATTTGGAGATTTCCTAAAGAGAGATGTCATCAGCAGAGTAAATCATTTATATATATATATATATATATATATATATATATATAAATGTATATATATATGTATATATATATATAAATGATATATCTATATACACACACACATACACTTATGAGTTTGGGAAGGATGGATCAGTTTAAAGTGCTATGCTGAGAGCACACTATGCATTGCGAAAATTGGTTTTTTGTGGATGGAGCCAGACATGCCCTGAACCAAACTGTTTGATTATTCTAACACAAAGAGGGTCTTAAACCACTGACAGTAAGAAAAAGAAAAACACAGTCATTTTACATAAAGAACACATATATTCAGATGAGCCCAATTTCATCTGGATATTATTGCTCATTAGGTTTCCAGTATAATCACATGCCATATTTGTGGACAAACTATACTAGATGTTGGGTTGACTCAGAGCTAGGTGGTTAGTTGTCAACAAAAGAAATGAGTTGAATACATAAACATGAACATTAACAGCAACCAGCAATGTGACTAGTTACCATGTGTCTACTGGAGAAGAAGAAGAGACCCAGCCCTGTTTATAGTCCCAATGTGTCTTCTATGTCAGCTTTTCTTAAGAAGTGGAAGATAAGCAGGACCTGATCCTAGCACACCAAGGCAGAAAAGCAAAAGAGAAGGAAAAAAACCAAAGTAAGAAGAATAGCAGCATTCACGATGCCATGCAGGATTCTAAGGAATACTTGCCTAACCCTTTACTAACCCCCCAGGACGAACTATAGACTGGTAAGTCACCACCTTGGGATTAGTCTCATGTAGAAAAACCAACAACCCAGCTCTACTTCATCATAAAACACCATGCAAGGAACAACAGTCAGCAGAATAGAAGCATTCCAAGCTGAATTTGAACATTCACAGACTTGTTTAAACACAGCACTCGTAAAAGCTATATCAGCAGAGCCCATAGGCACAGGTTCCCACCATCCACTAGCAAGCAAGCTCAGAGCATGCAATCCTTTTGAATTACAGTGCCTCTGGGATGGAGAAAGTCAGATGGTGCACGTGTAACACAGCTCGTGCTACATCAACTTGAATTCAGAGTTCATCAGTTATACCACATGAATTCTACATAGCTTATTACGGTTTAACTTTCCAGCTGGAGTGAGGAAAAGAGAAGGTCCTTCAATTAGATATACCCTACAGTCAAAGATGTCACTTTTGAGAAGAAAAGTCAACTTTTTTTTTATTGCTGGTATTTTTTGTTGTCAACACAAGGCAGGACAATCAGAGCAATAAAGCTGCCAAAGCTGAGGTAGGAAGTTCCAAAAGGAAAACTCCTCCATCTGACCCTGGGCTAGGAGGGTAGTTTATTTCTACAAGTTCCTGATTAAGGTTTAATAGTTACCCAACTAAGACTCTTACTAGATTATTGCCAAGAAATTACAACTGAACTGTTAAGTGGGGTAAGTGATGTCTGTGGCTTAAGAACACTAATTGCAGAGTGGATGATACTGAAACTCAAAACACAGACTGCTGAGCAGTTCATTTCAACACGCCTCTGAAGAAAACTAGAGAACAGGGATTAGTATCACAGTCTACGTAAAACAGCAGGCACTGGCTTCTGCCTGCCCATGTTAGAAAATACCTCCTAAGAAGCATGCTCATTTCCAACAGGGGAGCACACAGTGGTTAATTCCTTACAATGACATTTCCATTTTAAAAATATACAATATAAGCCTCAGTTTCTTCTTTCCACCCCTCCCCTGAAAGATGGTGTTTCTTACCCAGTATATTCCGGTTTCCAGTTTTTCCTTTTATAGAGGACCGCCAGAATCATGCTGATGAGCAGAGTGAGCCCTAGGACCACAGCAGTAACTATACCCACCACCACCCAAACTGGCAAACTCTCTAGAGGGAAAGAACAAGACAGGGATAAGATACATTGCTACAGAGAAAAGGATGGGTAATTCATTAATTTAATAAGCAAAAGTTTACCCCTCGCAGTTATTATTTTATTTAACCTCTTCTATTATCCATATTATAAGCAGTAGTACCTAAGTGATGACATACAGCGACATACTGGTGATGTACTAGCTGAAAAAGAATGAACTAGAGGATAAAACATTTCTATACCCACAATCCCTCTCCATGTTCTAAAGTCAAAATTGGAGATCTGAATTTCTATCAGTCTACTACTCTCCAACAGAGCAGACTTTGTCCCAGGATGGAGACACTAAAACTTAGCATTTTCTGCTTATTCTTGAAAAAGGGAAGAAATAATTGTAGGCTGGGAAGGTGGCTTAGTGGTAGAGTGCTTGCCTTGCATGCATGAAGCCCTGGGTTCGATTCCTCAGTACCACATAAACAGAAAAAGCTGGAAGTGGCACTGTGGCTCAAATGGTAGAGTGCTAGCCTTGAGCAAAAGAAGCTCAGGGACAGTGCCCAGGCCCTGAGTTCAAGCCCCAGCACTGGCAAAAAAAAAAAAAAAGAAAGAAAAGAAAAGAATTGTACTGGATTGGAGATGTCAAAACTTTGGGTTGGAGAATATCAACATGCTATCAATTTCCTTCTCTCCCATGGCCCACTTCTTCTAACCATTATGATTAATACTAAAGAAAAAAATTACTACACCTGAACACAGATCCATAAGTTCCAGACAGGAAGTACATACAAGAAGAAATCAGCCACTCTGGAGGCGGAGTTAGTTCTCCAACCCCTAGGTATGTCTGGTTCACAGAGACTGAGAGAACAAGTCTATGGCAAAAAAAAAATCCTCACTTCAAACATATCTTGAAATATTAACTCTTGTTCTCCAACTAAATGAGATAAAGAGGACTGTCATTTCTGCAAAAGTCCTAAAGAGAGTACCTTTTTCCACGACATAGAGTCTAATATGGCCAGGCTGGACAACAATGTCAGGAGGGTTTTTGACATCACAGATGTAGGTGCCATTGTGTATAAACTGCATATTTTCTATGTTGATTGATGCATCCTTCTTGTCGAGGTCTCCAGCCCAGCTGATTCTGTCCTTAAATGGTGGATAATTCCCAAAGTATACTTGCCCTTGGGAGTAGTGGAAAAACTGCAATTAGAAAATGAGAGCACATGAGCTACTTTCAAAGACCAAATTCCTAAAGACTATAGGAGAAATGCTGGTAAAGCTTTAGAAAAGACTTCAAATGAAAGAAATGCAAATCATATAACAAGTCTCAAGCTATGGAATATAGGCCAGGCAGAGTTTTGAAGATGATAGAGTACAACTCTGCCAAGTTTCGGTTGGAAAAAAATCAGACATACATACCATCTTTAATCCTTTCAACATCCCCTAAAGGTAATGATTACTATTCATTTTTTAAATAAGAAAATGGAACTCAAAAGAAGCCATTTTCCCAATGTCACAATTAAGTATTAGGCCTAGAGTCAAAATCAGGCCCATATTACTCTTAAAAAGCCAGTATTTTCAGGCGGGCGCCGGTGGCCCACGCCTATAATTCTAGTCACTCAGGAGGCTGAGATCTGAGGATCACAGTTCAAAGCCAGCCTGGGCAGGAAAGTCCGTGAGACTCTTACCTCCAATAAACCACTAGAAAACCGGAAGTGTTGCTGTGGCTCAAGTGGTAGAGTGCTTGCCTTGAGCTGAAGAGCACAGGGACAGCGCCCAGGCCCAGAGTTCAAGCCCCACAACTGACAAAAAAAAAAGCCAACATTCTTCCTACAAGACTACTTCAGAGGCTTCAGAAACCCACCACTAAGATATACAAAGGCACACCAAAAAGAAGCCTAGATGGCATATGTCTATCTGCAAGTTTCAGTGGAAAAGTCATAGGCATGTAAAAGAAACAAAACCTGGAATATACAAAATGTTCTTCCTGGCCTGTGAAGGAAGTGTACTCTTCCCTCTCAGACCTAGAAACTTATTTCTCAAAGCAAACCTTCAAGAAGGTAATGCCCGGAGGGAGGGGAATCTACTCACACTGAATTAAACCCAAGCAGTTTCGCTGGAGGGTTGATGTCTTTGCTCTCAGTCCTTGATAAGAAGATAGTGGGAGATTTGCTCCATTATCCTGTCTACTTAATTTCTACTGACAACACCTAATTTTAAGCTCTCACCATCTTGGACTGGGGGGACTTAATTGGTATCTGATTCCAGCCTCAACTTTCTTTATACCACCCTCCACCAATGTCTAAATGAGCAATGACAAAGAAACTGTTATTATGCCATTTGCCCAATATATGCCCTCTATTTATTTTTTTTGTGGGGGGTCCAGTCGTGGGGCCTGAACTCTGGGCCTAGGGGCTGTCCCTCAGCTCTTCAGCTCAAGGCTAGCGCTCTACCACTTGAGCCACAGCGCCACTTCCAGCTTTTTTTTTTTTTTGCTTATGTGGTGCTGAGGAATCGAACCCAGGGCCTCATGCATGCAAGGCAAGCGCTCTACCACTGAGCCACCTTCCCAGCCCTATGCCCTGTATTTAATATGACCTAAATGTTTTGTTAGGAACTGTGAAGGTCTGAGATTTCACTATTGGTAAACTAACAAAGTACCAATGAAGTATTCATTCCCATGAAGACTCAGAAACAAAGGGCCTTATGATCATGGAACAAGAAGCATATTTCTATATGTTCCCTTTGCTCCCTAACTCCCATATTGATGGCACAAGGGGCTCAGGTGGACTTTGTACATGCAGGGGCATTACTTATCATCATTCGGGGGGGGGGGCATAACTTCATCATCACCGCTAGGAACTCCAAGCTTAGGGAACCCAACTCTTTCATTTTTCAGACAGGGTCTCATGACATTGCTCACTCAGCTGCTCACTTATCTAAGTGTTGGGACTACAGGTATAAGGCACCATGCCTTGATTAGAACTCAAATATTTTGTAATTAGGTAAAAGGCATGTCCAACTTTCATCTGAAGAGACACACTACCTTTACTACATGGAACAGTGAGCAAATCTGTCTTCCACAGCTAGTTGTTTTATGAAGAAAGTTCACAACAAAGACAGCTAGTGGGCCAGGAGTTGGTGTCTCATGCCTATAATCCTAGCTACACAAAAGGCTGAGATCTGAGGACTGCGGTTCAAAGCCAGCCATGACAGGAAAGCCTTTGAGACTCTTATCTTCAATCAGCCACAAGAAAACCCTAAGTGTAGAAGTAGCTGCAAAGTGGTAGCACAAAAAAGCTCAGAGGCAGCTCCCAGGCCCCAGGTCAAGCCCCATGGCCAAAAAACAAAACAAAACAAACAAACAAAAACAGGCGTTCTTGCCTACAATATATGCAGAAATGTGAATAACTCATGGGGAACCACCTGTCAGCCACACTCCAGTGCTCACAACATCCTGCAAGGTGAGAGCCATTTAACTATTATTTCATAAATAAGGAAAGTGAGGCTCAGAAAACTTGAGTGACCTGCCTAAGGACACATGTCTTTGAGATAGAATTCAACTCTAGCTTTCATTTCAAGGCTGTTACTATTTTTTCCCTATCATTTCATGTTTCTTATGTCTGATCATATCCTGCCTGCTCAAAGACCTTCACTCCCCTTTTCTGCCAGAAAACAGATAAGAAATTCAATGTCCCAAACATTGAGTCCTTTCATCATCTAGTCCCTGCCTTCTCTTTCTACATCCCCAAATTTTCTCTTGCATTTTTTTTTTTTTGGTCAGTCATGGGGCTTGAACTCTGGACTTGGGCCCTGTCCATGAGCTCTTCAGCTCAAGGCAAGTGCTCTACCACTTGAGCCACAGTTCAGGGCTTCATGCATGCAAGGCAAGCACTCTATCACTGAGCACCTTCCTAGCCCTCTCCCTTGAATTTCTGAAGCTGTTTACAATACCACCTACTCCACTGCTTCCAACTGCTGTGTTGTGTGCACACTGCTCCCCGGGTCAGTCTGTTTAGATAGACTGAGTGCCCCTGAAAGGGAGCGATGAATTGTATTTACCTCCTCAACTCTTAGGAGGACCTCATGTATTGATCAAACCAATGAGATAAAAGAATTAAAAAACTCACAAACTTTACTGGATCTTATTACCAGCCAGTACTTTTAAAGTGTATGGCAGTGTGCTGAAGCTATCAGGGATACTGAAGAGGTAAGACAAGTGTCTCCTTTCAAAACAGCAATAATCAGGATTATGAGAAAAGCTGCCCTAACAGAGGGTACATATTATAGAAATGTATAGTGAGTTTTAAGATCTAAGAACTTGAGAGTGGAGTGTTATGGAAGGATTAGGAGGTAAATATGGCAAGAGTTCAGAAGGAGGAGGCAGAACATAAAGCAATTTCAGTAGACTGGAAATAACCTTATAGAAGAAGAATAGAAAAGTTGAAGTGGTTGGCTAAGACAAATTGTAATAAGCTTTGACTTCTAAACAAGTATAATTGTTATGAATGTGAAACCAGGAAGTTTCTGGCAAAGGCAGTACCAAGGCAAAAAAAACTATTTTAAAACTGGTATACCTGGAGGCATGTGATGGTTGAACCCAAACAAGTAGAACAAACCAAGTGTTAACGAACCAATCTAGGCACAAAATTAACATCGTTTAAGAGACAGCAGAGACACAGCAGGAAGTATGACAAAATCTGTACACTATAACTGAAAAACAATTCAGCAAAGATTCTTAAGTCTGCTGCAGGTGGCAGAGGGGAAGTGTAGAGGACAAGGAAGGGAAAACAACTACAAGACAAGCCACTCCACCAGACTGGTCCCTAAACAACACTAACATTTATGGTATGCTAGATTTGAGCACACTTTTCTTACAAAATCTGTAAAGAAAAAAGCAACCTGCTTATTTGATTAAACATGTTCCAATATTTCAAAGATAAAAGATCCTATATTCTGGAGTTGTGTAATCCAACTAGTGTATAGGTAAGTTAACAACTCTAATCAAAAATACAAGTGCCAGGCACATACTCATGCCTGTAACCCTAGCTACTCAAGAGGCTGAGATATGCAGATTGTGATTTGAAGCCAACCCAAACAGAAAAGTCTATAAGACTCATACCTCCACTTAACCAGCAAAGAGCCGGTAATGCAGCTGTGACTCAGGTGGTAGCATGCTAGCCTTGCACAAAAAAAGCTAAGGAATAGCACCAGGCCAAGTTCAAGCCCCGGTATTGGCACACACACAAAAAAAGAGGAAAATGCAACCTGTTTTTGGATTACTAAGCCTTCTTCAACCCACATATGAATGAATATTTGTGCATCAGTGGAACTACTCTTTAAAAAAGAGTTGTTATCTCTGTGTCCCACTGGTGATAGCTTTATTTTCCATAAACGAAACACCTGCTGCTCACATCCATTCTTGCAGAAGACTTCAGAAGGAGACCTCACAAGTTTAATTTTTGGACTCCCTTGAGTAAACTTGCACACGTAATTTATATGCGTCACACTGACACTCAATTTATGAGGCAGAATGCCTTTGTATTGCCTTCCTCAGAACATGTGTATGGATTCCTGTTCTCATACTCATGGCTATTCCAAGAGAGGACTTTCAGAAAATTCCACCTTGTGTTCTGCATTTTGTCTTACCTAAAATTATACCCAACTGGACTCTATGGAACTTAAGCAAATTTGAAGTCCCTGATGTGACCTCCCACTTTCCCTCTTTGCTAGACATGACATAGAGGTCCGTCCTATGAATAAATCTTGGACTCTGACAGAAAAATAGTTTCCACCCATGAAATGAAAAATACAATTTGCGGTCCTATCTGCTGCTGGGAGAACAAAAGACTGGCTGAGTAATTTATAAAATATAGTAGTTTATTTGACTCATGGGTCTAAAGGTTAGGACGTCTAAAAGCATGGCATGCTGCCCTTGCTTGGCACTGCTGCGGGTCTCTAACATAGGGGAGAGAAGACTGAGCAAGAGAGCAAGCTTGTATCTCTCTCCTTCCTCTCAGAAAGTCACTAGTGCCACCATAGGCCCCCACTCCCAACAGACTTCATTCAATCTAGTCTTGATTGCGTTGTAAGCCCCCTCCCCTTCTAAATACCACTTCAACATTTGAACTTGAAGATTAAGTTTCCAACACCAGAACTTTGGATGACAACACTGACTATCTAACGTACAACACTGCTAAAGTAGAAGACAGTATTTGAATGATCCTCAATGTGCTAACAAGGCCACAGTCTCACAATAACTTGTCTATATTAGCACTGAAATACCTCACCAGCACCCTGGCACTTACCTTATATGGCCTCACTTTCCTCCTATGTGGGAGGTTTATTATCTCCACTTCATAGACAAGAATCAGGACAGCCAGTGCATGGTTAATAAGCACCCACTACATAATATAGCATGTTCTTAAAAACTGCTTTTGATAAAAAGTACTGACTTCGCACTTGAGCCCACAAGTTAATGAAAAGTTGGAGAAAAGTTCAGCGAACCTGCCTCTCTCTTGCATGTCTCTTCAGCTCCTAGCCATTCTCTCCTGTACTTAACCAAGTTTTGCTTAACAGCAGGACTGAGGGATGAACACTTGATGTCCAAAGTGCAATCTACTCCTCAGGTAACAATGACATGCTTACTCAGACCAATTCTCAGATAATGACCAGCCAAATCATCATACCTTTGATTAAGAAATTTCGTTTACATCTGGCCCACTGTCCTTTGTTTAAATCTGAAACTCAAGTCAGAACCTGGAAGATAGGCTTGAAATGCCTCTTCCCAGGCTAAACTGTATTGAATCTCCTCTGCACTTTACCACATGCTTCTGTTTGTTTTGATTGTTTTTGTTGTTATTGTTGTTTTTTGTTCTTGTTTTTTGGTGCCTATTCTGGCACTTACACTCAGGGTCTGAGTGCTGCTGTCCCTGAGTTTTTGCTCAAGCTAGCTTTCTTACCACTTGAGCCACAGCTCCACTTCTTTTTCAGCTGGCTAGTGGAAATAAAAGTCTTATAGACTTTCCTGCCCAGGATGGATCTGAACTGCAATCCTCAGATCTCAGCCACCTGAGTAATCTGAGGATTACAGGTGTGAGCTACCAGTGCCCAGGCACCTTGAGCTTTTTTCCTTAAGGCTCACACTCCATCATTTGAGCTTCAACTCCACTTCCAGCATTTTGGTGGTTAGTTGGAGATAAGTGTCTCATAGACTTTCCTCCCCAGGGTGACTTCAACTGCAATCCTCAGATTTCAGCCTCCTGTTTAGCTAAGATTATAGATGTGAGTCACTGATGCTGGGCCTACATGATTCTCTTTAATTGGGACAGGGGGATAAGCCTAGACCTGTTGGGACTCCTGGAGCCCCAAGCTTTTCACCTAAAACTGTTTACCCAGCACTCAGCAAATTACTAATTCTGCTAGGCCCCTCCTCTTACTCGAATCATCTGTACACCAGTCTTACTTTTCTGTACTCCCAGGTTTAAAGGCTCAAATGTTTGAAATTCCCTCCTCCCTCAAAAAACCTATACATTGTGAGCTCCCAATAAAACAATGCTGAGTTACACACAAGTTTAATCAAGAAAAGTATAATCAAATCAGAAAGATGTATAAATACATATCAAAAAATCAGAAATACCAAGAAAATAAGCTTCATCTAAGAGATGCTTAGTTCTTTTTTCCTAAAGAATCTGAGTCAAGAAAAGACTCTGCAGTGGGCGTCAGTGGCTCACACCTGTAATCCTAGCTACTCAGGAGGCTGAGATCTAAGGATCTCGGTTCAAAGCCAGCTTGGGCAGGAAAGTCTGTAGACTCTTATCTCCAATAAACCACTAGAAAACCAGAAGTGGTGCTGTAGCTCAAGTGGTAGAGCGCTTGCCTTGAGCTGAAGAGCACAGGGACAGCACCCAAGCCCAGAGTTCAAGCCCCATGACCGACAAAAGAAAAAAGAAAAGACCTTGCAAATTACTTAATAGATTTCACAAATTTGGGGAATGGAAAAGCATAGGTCATCAATCACAAGAACAAGACAGCAGTAAAGCCTATGAGAAATAATGACACTCAAACATTCCTACCGACACAGTGGTGTCAGTCCCCTCTGGCTGGAAGCTCCAGGAAACAGTGGTTAAGCGGCTAGTCACATTGGTGGACTTGAATGTGCATGTGAGCTTCCCTTGTGTCCCATTTGCCACATAGATTTCTTTTGGTGTATATACTTCCAACGCTGACACTCTGGCTGTCACTGCAGAAAGAACAAGGACAGTTTAAATGTTGAATTTAGCGTGAATACTACTGTACATTATTTATCAGTGAAAAAGATAAAAATTACAAGATATACACAGCAATCTGCTGTATTATTATACTCCATTCCTCACAGGATATTTTATGGTTCAGGGCTTCCTAAAGAGTAACTGTTGATGGTCTGGTGTTTTTATTTGGGGCTATACCTAATATATTTGTTTAATGAACAGACATTTATAAAAGCAGTTTTAGGTATGCAGAAACAAATGGAATGTGAGAAGTTCTCATGAATTTACCTTCCCCCTTTCATTATTATTAATGTGTGTGCCACATTTGTATCAACTGATAAGCTAAGATTGTTACATTATTGTTAGGTTTGCAGGGTTCACTCTTTGCCTTATACATCCTTTGGATATGGATATAAGAAGAGATAACCACCCTTACAATATACCATACCAAATACTTACTTCACTGTCTTAAAAAGAATTCCTTTTGTGCTACAGGTTTCCTCTCCCACTGACCTTGTTTTGTTTTCCCTTTGGTTGTACTGGGGATTGAAATCAAGGCCTCACCTCTTGAGCCATGCACTAGTCCTTTTGCTTTTAGTTTGTTTTTCAGTCTCTCACTTATGTCAGGCCAGCGATACCAGTGAGAGAGTCTCACTAACGTTTACCCAACCTAGCCTTAAACCTTTACCTTATCTACATCTACTAAGTAGCTGGGATCATACATACCATGATGTCTAGTGCATCCACTGACTTTTTACTGTTTCTACAATTTTGTATTCCCAGAACACTATAGAGGTAGAATCTTATAGCATATAGCCTCTTCTTTCTCTTCTTTTCTTTTCTTCTTTTTTCAAACTTCTCTTTTCTTTCCTTCCTTCCTTCTTTCAGTCTTTCCTTCTTTCCTTCCTTCCTGCCAATATCATGGCTCTGGCTCAGCTATCTTGATCCCATAAGCACTCTATCACTGGAGTTATGACTCCAGCCCTGCTTTTTTAAGTAGTGATAAGGTCACACAGACTTTTCTGCTTTGAACTATTATATTTCAGGTCTCAGCCTCCTGAACAAGCTAGGATTACAGGTGTGAGCCACAAGCTTAGCTATTTTTACTTCTTTAAACAGAATTCATTTGCTATACTGCAATTGTTATCACATTAAACTTTATCTCACCTTTTATATTTAAAACAATTAAACTATTCTTATCTACCACTTCATATCAGACCATGTCTATTATTTAATTGACCCTTTTCCTATAAAGAATTTAAGGTAGGAAAATAATACTGTGATAGCACCACGGTTTGAACTCAAGGACTCACACACTCTACTTCTGAGACCATACCTCTAGCCCCAAACCAGATTATCATTAAAGAAATAGTCTGGAATAATTATAGTGTTCCAGTTATTCTAGAATGTAACAGATGGGCAAAATAAGAAGGGTATTATCACTTGAGATGGAAGGTCATTTTCAGAAATATTTTTTTCTTAAAGACTTAACTGTGACTCTAGACCAAGGGGAACAGGAGCCCTTCCCTACTCCTCCCAACCATCTTCCAAATGTTTATTCTTAGAACACAAGGAGCACTTTGGCCATTCTTTTAAATAAACTGATAGCCATACTGCATCAAGCAGATTTTTTTTCTGCTAAAAGAGGGAGGATTATTATTATAGGGAACAATAGATTATTATTTGTGGTCCAAATCTCAAAACAAGACTTTCTTTGAGACTGGAAGCAAACAAAAGGCTTCCTTGCTATTGTGGGTAGGCAGAAAAGCAGCCCCAGGCACTGGAGTTCAGAGCGAAGGACAAAGCACAGGACAGACCAGTTAACCAGCTTATTCCAGGAAGCAGCTCTGGTCTGCAAGCCTGACTCCATCTGGGTGGTTTTTGACTTACTTTTCTCCACGGTGCTGACACAGCAAGCAAAGCCAGCCTTGAAAGCCCACAAATAAAGTTTCTCAAGGATTTTTCTTAAACCAGATCCTTGCCTCAAGGCCTGGGTGCAGAAATGCTATTTAAAGATGGAACTAGGCCAAATGTCCAAGTTTAAAGTCAAGAATAGGAGCAAAAGGCTAACTCTTTAAGTGGCTTTTATGCAATCTGTATGCCAAAGCTGGCTAATAAATAAGTGGTTTTTATTTCAAGCATTCCATTAGTCTTTGGCTAATTTAATGTGTAGTAGCTCTTAGAGCCTGGATATGAATTCTTACTGCTCACAACTGTAACCTGCCCTCAGGCGGAAGCCACTCCTAGGTGGGAGCCCTGCTCTAAGGCTCTACCATCAGTAGCTGCATCCTCACCACAGCCTCCATGTCATGTTGCCTGGCTGGCTCTCTACCTCCAAAGCTGTTAACAAAACATCTTGTCTTTACTTAGAAACATATCTAGAGATTGATCTCTCCCTAACTCTTTGGTGCAAGCCACTGCCACCTTTGCCTTGCCTTGTATTCTAAACACTCTCTCTGCTTCCCAGCCTTATACATGCTAACTTCAAGTAGTTTATAGCAAGGTTAGAAAGGTTCCTAACATGTTCTCAATGTGTGGCTCGCATCAGCAATGCAAGTTACCCAAGAGGTGAAATCTGAGGATTGTAGTTTGAAGCCAGTTGGGGCAGAAAAGCCTATGAGACTCCAGAAGTGGTAGAGTGTCAGCCTTGATGTTGAAAAAAAGCCAAGTGAGAATATGAGGCCCTGAGTTCAAAACCCAGTACTAACAACAACAACAAGCCATGTTAGAACTACCACATCAGTCCAGATCAGGCTAGTCCTCTGGTTCTTTGAGCTAGCTCTAGCTACCTTTCAGACCTCATATGCTACCCTTCCCCTCCCTCCCCACCAAACATATAATAACCCATTTGGTCACCTAGTGCCACTGCTGATGAAGTGATAGGTGTAGCTAAGAATAGCGAAAGCTGTGTACAATAAGACTGGAAGTGTCCCAAGAAATCATGATGTCATGAAAGACAAGGGAAGAATGGTCAATGTGTCAACTGTGCTGTGTATCTCATCTAGGGAAAAGTTTTGATGGAAACCCTTGTTCAGAACTGCTCATTTCCCATGTATTTATCAACATCTAGAATATAAAGTCCTTTTACCAAGCCTATTCCAAGTTTCTGAACAACTGTAACAAGCATGAATGGTATCTTCTAAGAAACATCCTCCTGTGAGTAAGGAGAGAAACTAAAACACAGGTTTCCCTTACTACATTCCAGGCAGCCCAAGCAAGTTCACTTTCTTAAACAACTTGTTTCTTAAACAACTCAGAATGGTTTTTTTTTGTCCTGCCTTCCCCTCCTCCCTACCTTTTTAAATGACTAGGAGCATTATGGAAATACATAGTAAATTATTGTGGATTCAGACAGCTCTTCTTCAGTCATACAAGAGAGTTTTTAGGGGCTGGTTAGAATGGCTAAAAATGAAAATGTAAAGGACACTGAGCTATACAGAAAGTATTGTTCCAATCTACATTCCATGTCACTAAAGAATGGAATCCTATTCTGAGTAAGTTATTAAATTTATTCTTCTCAGACCTAGGATTTATAATTTTGATACAGTTGTACAATGTCTTATGGAATCGGTCCCTGAACTCATATACAGAAGAAAAATATGCCCTGTTGATTTTTGAGATGGTAACCAATCACCTTGGAAATAAACACAAAAATGAAATGAAGTAAAACAATGAAATGACAAGCAAATGTTTCAAAAATTTTGACAACATTGGATTCTGAGTAACATATAAACAACCTGCAAACTTTAATATGGTAAGGAAGCTGTGAATACTTTCTACCTGGACAAGGTTCCATAAGGAAGAAAAAAATCTCTGAACACTAGAGTTTAAAGATCAAGATAAACCAACAGAACCAAAACTGTTTTAGGGTGCTCTGGAGAACAGAGTTTCTAAAATGTACTTTGCTACCCAACAGTATCTCTTAGCTGTGAAGTGACTGGCACTTTTGAATGCCAATAGATTGATTAAAATGAAAGACAACCACAAAATCACTTGATAAGGACTCAAAGTCTATGTAATCATCTGACTCGAGGTCATTTCTACAATAAAATGAGACACAGAAGTTGTCCTTTTTCTTCTCTTTATCACTACCTTCAAATAGTTGCATGAGTTTTCAACTTAGCATGTCTATTTATATGTATATCTTGATTGGTGTTACCCCTTCCATAATTCCCCTTTCTCTATTTCATCTCCCAGAAGTTGATATTCTTTAAAGTTTAGATAGACAATTAGAATGTTTCAGAAAAGAGGAATTTTTTAAAATACAGAATAAAAAACAAAATCCATAACAACAAAGGAAAATGCAAATTCAAGAGTGGTTTGCCAGCCAGGAAGTAGTGGCTCATGCTTATAAACCTAGCTACTCAGGAGGCTGAGGTCTGAGGACAGCAGTTGAAAGTCAGCAAGTGGGGGGGGGATGGGAGGGGGCAGGGATGGTAAGGGGAAACAAAGGAGGAGAGGAGGAGGCTTGATAAGACATGTACTCATTACCTTGCCCATGTAATTGTAACCCCTCTGTACAGTATTTTCACAATAAAAAAACTTATTAATAAAAAAAAAAGAAAGAAAGCACAGGCAGGAATGAGACTAATTTCCAGTTAACCACCAAAACGCCATAGTGAAACTATGGCTCAAGTGGTATGGCTCTAGCTTTGAGTGAGAAAAACCAAGTGACAGCATCCAGGCCCTGAGTTTAAGCCTCAGTATGCACACAAGCACACACATGCACACACAAATACACACACACACATACACACACACCCCACACAGAATTGCCAAGTGCAATTTTCTGACATGACCTATTTCAATTATTAAAGTAACAAAAAGCCAAGCTGGGTGCTGGCAGCTCATGCCTATAATCTTAGCTACTCAGGAGGCTGAGATCTGAGGACTGCAATTCAAAGCCAGCCCAGGCAGGAAAATCTGTTAGACTCATCTCCAATAAAGTAAAAGCTGGAAGTGGCGCTGTGGCTCAAGTGGTAGAGCACTAGCC